GGGAATCCATGCATGGTGCTGTAAACATTGCCAAGTATACATAGTCGGAGATATCATAGACCCTAGAGAAGAATATAAGCATTTTCCTATAACAATGTAATTTCTTACTGTATTATAAATATTTATCCCAATAACCATTGATAAATGTAGCTCTCATCAATCACTAAAGAAGGTTCTATTTGCAACAGATGAAGATTTATACAAAGTTCCACAGAGTCAAAACACAGAAAATAAATGTCCATGAGATGCCAAGCCATAACTGATACATCTACAGTGTAATACCTACACCTGAGGTTCATCCACAAAAGCAGGGGTCGAGCAATTGTAATAGCTGGAGGAGCGGGATACTTGCTATTACACAATGCATTCTAGACAGCATAGGAAAACTGCACCCATGAAACCACCTCAATATGATGGTCTAACAAGATGTGCATAATGATATCATCAACTGACATGCCAATTTGGGAAATTTTGCAGATCCACCTCTAGGTGAAGAGCCATAGACAATCAGTGGATGCTAATAAACAGAGAAACTGTTTACTCCAGCATTTAGTTCCCTGACAGGTTGTCTAATCCCAAATGGGCATCCCTAAACACATGTACAGATGAAAACCACTAAATGTACTCTGTGTGTGTGTGTGTGTGTGTGTGTGTGTGTGTGTGTGTAAAACAATAATAATTAAAGAAGAGGACAAAAAACTGAGAGGGAGTCAGGAGGACATGGGATGAATTAGTCTCATGTTGGAAGGGATGATACAAAGGCAATATTGACATATGGAAAATTTCAAAAATGCAAAAAATAAAAAGAGAAGCTAGAAGCACAAAGGAAATTGTGGAGATGTGTATACGTTCTCCACAAGTATTCATCAGAACACTGATCAATGCCTGCAAATAAAAGAAAAAAAAAAGGAGGCTAAGGGAAAACTCAGTCAGATTATAAAGGAGATTTCAGGGGTGACAATAGCCAAGAAATAATACCTAGTTAAGGCAGTCAGACAGAAAATCTCATAAGTTATAAAGCATTTAGCTTAATAGAGGTAAGAGTCAGGACTTAATACTGTGGGACAAATAAGTTCAGAATAAAAAAAAGACTCAGAACCATCTAACATGTCTGAAAATGGAAAATCAAAAGGAAAAAAATGACTCAAATTATTTAGATACTTGAACTTCATTCTAGGCAAAATGCAAAAATATACATGTGCACGCGCGCGCGCACACACACACACCGTTGTATACCAGTACACATACACAATGACATATGATTATCTTACATTTGGTAGTATAAAATAATTTTTAGGTAATTGGAAATTAACATGTAAGTTTAATAATAAAACAATAGATGAGCTATTTTAATTGAAGGATAAAAAATGGAAAGACAAAGAAAATACCTTAAATACATTATTGTAGATATAATAAAAATAGTTCCTTAATAAAAGTGTAAAAACTGGTTTAATATAATAAATTATATTCACATTATGTTTCAATAAATTTATAATATATGCATTATAAAATTAGTTATTTTGGGCTTACTACATTAATTCTTTTGTAAAAACTGGGCACACGAAATTACTTTACAATAGCCCCAAAATTAATTTTAGCTAATAGCACATTAAAAAATTCATGTAGAACATTTAGTAATACTCTTGTTCTTTTGGTTTATGTTCTTTGAAACAGTAACGTTGTTATGCAATATTCAATTTTAGAACATGTAAAGGACTTTAGTAAGAATTTAAAAAATATGAGCCAGTTATATTCCAACAACATTGTTCCATATATTTAAAAATTTCAGAAATGAATATAATGGTAACTTGTATATATAGGGGCAGAATATTAATTACATTTAATTAAAAATATAAATGAGCCGGGCATGGTGACACACGATATTAATCCCAGCATTCCGGAGGCAGAGGCAGGCGGATCTGTATGAATTCAAGGCCAGCCTGGTCTACATAGTGAGTTCCAGGACAG